AGTTAGTAAAAATCATCCAATACGAACCGCCAAGTCTACAGTCCACGTGGACTTGTTCGCAGCGGCATTATTTCTCTGTATTGGTTGTTTTGGCCTTTGAGATACCGATAGCTTTAAGTATTCACAATAAAGGTTACTTACACTATACATCAAACTAGTCTACAATCACAATGTCTTTTATATAATAACAATAGGTAATTTCAAAACTGAATTAAATACAGTAATGTCAATAATTCGATCGTCAAACATTCGAACGCCCTCTTCAAACATGTGAAGTGTACTTTTCACGGCGCTGTGAGAGAACAATGACTTTGGGAGAGTGTCTTGAACCGTCATTTTCCCCTCCCACCAGCGGGTCAGTCTATTTTTAGCCCTGTAGCACCGTAGAATAAATACAACCAGTAGACTCTCTAACCACGTTATCCACTCGAGTTGCCGGGGACCTTCAACCGCTCTCAGAATGAGATTCTCATCCAACGCGTTCAGTGCTGTATTATCGAAGGATTCGACGGTTCCACGGGCATCGGATTAGTTATAATAAACGGTCGGAAATTGATATTGTGTTTAGTTTACTCGCTGTTGTTATTATTGTTTTTAGTTTTTGTAGTTTGTTTTATTGTTAAGTGATAAGAAAATGGGAGATGTGAAAAAGACATTATTAAAGAAGTCAGGAAATGTTTGCTGCTTCAATGATTGCAAGAACAAGGCCTACAATTGTAGAGAGAAATTTTATAGATTCCCGAAAGATCCCGAAAGGTAAGTAAGTGCCTAATAATATGTTCAATCTGTATGATTTTTATTCTAGGGCAAAAATATGGCTGGAAGCATGCTGCAGACCTGATTTGCTTAAAAAATTAGAAACACTGTACAAAAGCAGTTATCGTTTATGTGGCAGTCATTTTGAAAATGATGTGATAATAAGTAGCCATAAGAAAAAACTTCTACGACAGAATGCTGTTCCAACGATATTTATCTGGACATCAAAGTCAAGTACTGATAGGTATGATAATGTCGTTTATAATGATTATGTTATTGAACAATATTAAACAATACCTTTTACTGTTTGGCCATTTTCAACTTCACGAACCTCTGGGACAGGCGACACACCATTATTAGATTCGACCATCCCTTCTACTTCAACGTCATCACCAAATTTTTTTTTGTTATTTCGCATGAGTACTCACTTGCAGCACATTATATTATACAGTGTATTTCTGCAATGTCCCCCCCTTTTATTTTGAAGTGAAATTGACAGATGAAACTTTCAAGATGGCGACTGGGCGCCATTCCTTTTTATCTGCTATATAGCAATTCCAACAACCCAATAAAGTTTGTTAGGTTATTTTTTGTTTATAAAAACGACAAAAAATGTCGTTACGACAATGAACATCTTTGTTCAGTTAGAATATTCTCATTTAGTTTTCGGTTTTACTAGTAGAAAAGGTACCACGTCGATTTGTTCTCCACAAACTTTGTGGAGATCAAATCGTTGAGATGTAGTTTTTGAAGAATTTGAATATGCTGGAAACTACTGTTAACCCTCTCATTACTGAAATCGTCGAAGCGAATTCTAATATCCTAATGAATTTGATATGGATATCGTATTCCAACAAGATGAAGCACCACCACAATACTCCAGACAAGTAAGAAACTATTATTTGGATACTTTTCCCGGTCGTTGGATTGGCTGTCGACGTCCTATAGAATGGCCAGCCCGCTCGCCAGATTTGAGAGCTTTGAACTTTTTTGTATGGGGCTATTTGAAACAAATGGTGTACGAAACTGAACCTGCCTCAATATTGGATATACGGCAGAGAATAATAAATATTTGCAGAGATATTGACGTTACTGTGTTCGAAAATGTTGGACGTGAAATATCGAATAAGCTGTTCATATGTCAAGAAGTTCAAGGCAACCATATCTAGCATCTTCTGAACTGACCTCAAGCTTGTTACCTCATATTATGTAGTTAAATGTCAATGTATTCAGGCAATTATTGAAAGTTCCGCCATTTTGTAGTACATGAAAATATTGACAATATCTTCTAGGGTTGTGAAGCCTTTGTCAAGAGCCTCAAAAATATGTATCACAAGACCCCCT